TCAGTAGGAAGATCAAGCTTCTTTATCAGGGACATCCAACCAAGGGAAAATCCCCTGTTGCATGCCTGCCTAACTTGAAGTTTGTAGTCCTCTGCGACGTCGGCCATGCCCTAGGCATAGGCCTTTTCGTCGGCCTCTTTGACTTCGGCCTCTTTGGTGGCCAGAGCTTGCTGAAGTTCTTTCTCCGCCTGGGCCTTCTTAGCCTCAGCATCTCTTTTCTCGGCCTCAGCAACTTTTTTCACGGCCTCGGCAGATTCGGCCTTCTCAAGAGCTAAAGTTTGGGCCTTAGTAGCCGCCTCGGCCTGATCTTCCAATTTCTTCATCCTTAATTCAAGAGATCTGATCTCCTTCTTCATGGAAGATGCTTCCCTCATCATATCAACCAATCTTTGCCGGTTTTCAAAAGATTGCATTGAAAATGAATGGGCGTGCTGAATGGCCTAAGGAAAAACAGAAGTGTTAGAAAATATTTTCAGTAGGAAACAGAAGGAAAAATCGCAAGTGCAAATAGGAACACTTACTTGAACGGAGTGTTGGAGCATGAGAGCGTAATTCTCATACTCGCTAAGCTTAGCATTTCGATCCAAATCATTTGGAAGGAGAAGAGCAGTGCTGAGGGCGACACCAACGTTAATATCGTCGGCACTTTCACTGGCCATGATAGGCCTATCCTCCAGAGTTAGTTCAGGAGCCCATGGAACGTCGGGCTTCTTTGACGCCGAGGTCGTCGCGGACGATGACCTTGGCCTCTTAGATTGCGTAGACCCTGAGGGTTGGCCCTCAGCAGACCTCTTGGTGGCAGCAGAGGTTGATTTTTTGCTTTCTGCTAGTTTAGAAATAGGCAAAGCATCCTCAGTCTCGGCATCTGTAGCCTTGGCCTTGGGCTGAGCCTTTTTAACTCTCTTTGGTTTTGGTGGGAGCATTGATTGCATTGGTACAACTTCGGCATTAATTGGAAGGTCGGCAAGAAGATCTTGAACGACAGGCCTTGGACGAACCATCTCGGCAGTCTTTACAAGTCTTCGTCGACGTTTACGCTCCGGAATTGGTATTAAGTAGGGGGCCGAAGTTGATGGAAGATCGGCTGGGTCAGAGGTGGATCCTTGATCTGTTCGGGACGAAGAAGCGGTTAAAGTTGTAGCAGTAGGTGGAGACAAACTCTTTTTTTTCCTTTTTGGGATGCCGGGCAAAGTGGATTTATACGTAGGGATAAAGTTTAGTAACAGTGGGGCTTTTCGTTTGTGGACTGGAAGGTCAAGGAGTTTTTTCAGATCTGTTCCTGGGAAAAAGGATTGGCGGAAGTTTTTCGGTGGCTGATGAAGATCTGCAGGACAAAAAACAAATAGACGTCAGAAACAGAAAGTATTAAAGACTTAAATAAAAACAACTAAGTGTTGGCTCAAGGCTCTTACCCTTGCCCTCTGAAATTGTTCGAGGAAGAGGGTAGAGGTGGACATCCTCGTCTGGGCCAAATTCCCAATTTCCCGACGCAATAACAAAGTCATCTCCAGCCCCCTTGTTGGAGTCTGGAAGGTCGGCTACAATTTTAAACTGGGTGGATCTCGGCTTAAGGTAATAAACGAAGCCCCTATCATTCAGGTTGAGGGGACACATGGTATAGCAGTACTGAAGGTCGGCCAGGGTGATTCTAAGATTTTCCTGCCTAGCTAAAGCTATAATACCGTTAATCACCCTATATGAGTTGATAGTAAATTACATGGGGTTCAGCCTGTAGAAATAAAGAACTTCACGAAAAAGGGGATGAAGTGGAAGCCGAAGTCCACATTCGGTAAAAGCTACTATAGGAAAAGGCATTATATGATCTGTGGGCATGATGGTATCATTATCCCCAGCTAGCTTAAGGTGAACATCGACTGGGATAGAGAATTCCTGCATGAAGTATTCAAGTTTTGTTGGGGTATTTACCCTATGCCTCCACATACCCATTACGTCGGTCTAAACAAAAAGGAGTGTGTTTCAGAAGATGAGCGTTTTAGAAGGATTGCAAAAACCTCGCCAAAGGCCTAGGAAAGGAGGCTGATAAGGCTTGTTTCAGTTTTCCCTAAATTTGAAGGTTCTACGCACAAATCCCAAACCTAAGAACTATAAAGATCAAGATCGAAGGTACAGATCTGGGACAGATACAAAAAAGAGAAAACAAAGACGAAGTTTTAGATTCAAGAACAAAGATGGACTATCAGAAACACGAAGAATACAAAGGGATAAGGGTCAAGAATTATGGCAAGAAAAATATTGAAACAGTACAAATGTTCAAAGTATGGGAGAAATCGAGCAAAAAAGCAGTAATGGTAAAAGCGCATAAAGAGAATAAAAGAATTAAAGGAAAGGGTCTTACCAGAACAAATGAAGCCGGGGCAATGTTCGCCGAGTTTAGAAATCGGTTGCAACAGCAAAGAAAGCTTCACAAAAATGGGAGATTAAGGACAGTTCCAGAAGAGAGATCGAAGAAATGCAGATTCGAAGAAGAAAGAGCTTTCAGAGAGAGAAAGAGCAAGAAACCAGAATGAAAAAGTGAAGGAAAAGTAGAGGCAAAAAAGAGTTTTGTCAAAAATTTGAAACGGCGGCAAAATTAGGGCAATTATTACGCCTAGAGCAACGCAGGCGTCAGACGGCGCAGACAAATGACAGACAGCTTTCAGGCGCGTCACAGACACGCTCCAATGAAGACAAAACACGTGGAAAGGAACGACTAGATATGCATGACAGCTCATGCGCGTGGGAAAGTACGATCGAAAACTTGTTCTCCGAAGAGAACACGTCGGCTGGAAGAGGATTATCTCGGCTAAACAGTTTTTGAGCCATTACTCAGAAAAGAAATGTTGAAATGTCGGTATAGGTTCCATCATCTCAAAATGCCGAGGTAATAGAACCTAGGGGGCAGTTGTGGGGATATATTTTCCGAATACCAACACGTGGCATGGTGACGCTGACGTGTCAGCCGAGGTGCCACGTGTCGTGATAGTTATGCCGAGAAGATCTCGGAGTTGCCGAGGTTATTCCCGAAGATATCGAAATCCGAGATAAGCAGATAAGGGACAAGAGTCCTAAGGCAAAGAGGGGACTTAACCAAGATAAGGATAAAGCTCTTAGGGAGTTTATCTTTATCTCTTAAAGAGTCCAAAGTAAGCACTAAAATTGGAGTTCATAGAAGTCATACTTCTAGTGGGACTTGGATTGAGTATATTATAAAAGAGAGGCACCCCCGTGGGTCTAAGGTATGCAATTTATGTTTTGAGTATTAAGTTTTGCACTTGATTATCTTTGAGAGATATACTGACTTGATCGTCGGAGTGCCCCCAGGTGGAAGAACCACCGCCGGAACCTTTTTCTTTCTGTTTCAGGTTACTGAAGCCATCTATTCTGCCTGTGCTCACCAATTGATCACTAAGTAAGCAGTGTGGTCAGATTTTCACCCACACAGTAACACTCAAATATAACAGTCTAGAAAAAATTCTTAGTGTACTATTTCCAAACGTAATACTCCAATATAACACTTCAAAAAAATTCTTTAGTGTAACATTCTAATGTAACACATAAAAAAATCCTTAGTGTGCTTTTCCTAAGCATAACAACCAATGTAATACTCAAAAAAAAAAGATGTGAGATTCTTCAAACCATTCCAAAAGAAGTACAAAAATTCTTTAGTAAGTTTTGGGCAAATGAATAATTTCAAACTTAAATGTTATGTTTGAAAAAAGTACGCTAAGGAATTTTTTAATGTTTTTGTGTGTGTTACATTGGAGTGTTACATTTGGGATTACATTGATTGGAGTGTCACGTTTAGAAAAAGTACGGTAATGAGTTTTTGTGTGTGTGTGTGTGTGTGTGTGTCACATTAGAGTGTTACGTTTGGGATTACATTAATTGGAATGTTATGTTTGGAGTGTTACATTTGGGATTACATTGATTGGAGTGTTACGTTTAGGAAAAGTACGGTAGTGAGTTTTTTTTTTTTTTCTTTTTTAAGAATTAAAATATTCAATACTCATAAATTGTTAATTTCTGTTGGAATGTTATGTTTGGAAAAAATACACTAATGAGTTTTTTTTTTTTTTTTTCATTGGAGTATTACGTTTGGAAAAAGTATACTAAGGAGTTTTTTTTAGTGTTACATTGTTACGTTTGGAAAAAATACACCAAAGAATTTTTTAGTGTATTACATGAAAATGTGGCATTATAGGCGTGTTACATTAGAATATTATGTTTTTATTCGTAATGTGAGATTTGTTTTAGAAGGAAAATCCAAAACTTTTATAGTGCAAATTGTCCAAATGTATAATTTTACATTTGGAAAAACCCACTTTATCCCTAAAAAATTAAATCCAAACATATAAGTGATTACCTTTTTGTGTAATTTCTACTTTAATGAAACTTCTGAGTTTATAAGCAAAAAATGAGGACTAAACAGTTTACAATATCATATTTTAAAATTTATTAATGCTTCACCCTTTATTAATTTTGTATAAGATTTGAGTTATGTCAAAAAATTTCGTGCAAATAATATAAAATATAAGGTGACACCATGGCCCCATTGACCGCCCAATCCAACTCAATATCTTTAATATTTGAAAAAAATATTTTACCTATAGGACCAGACTGGGCTAAGACTTCCCGCCTTTGTGAATCACAAATTCTCATGAATAACCCTTCATTGTCATGTTTTAGTAGAGCCTGGTTTGGGCCACTCAGACACTTGTGCCAATAATATTGTTAAATCATTTCATTTTTAAGATCTCACAGCATTAAAAGGGTCATTCATAAAACAGAGGGCCTTCAATAAACACAGGCTCAGCTTTTGCACCATTAAAATTTTTTAAGAACGCATTATGTGTTCATGTTTGGCCAACATCATCCAATCAACAGTGAAGTATCACCCTACATAACTTAAAACTACCTGATTTTTTTTTTTTCCCTTCAATTTTTTTGTCACATTTTCTACTATGACCACAGCATTATTCAGGAATTTCTAACGGACACAATCGCTAAATGAGCTAGCTTGGTGAACTTTTCATAGCTTAAAGTAAGTACAAATATGATACAAAGGAAAAACCAAGCAACTAAGGCAATAACATATCTAATGTGTTTGACTGATTAAGTACAGCTTCTGACCATCACTAATCATATCCACATCAACAATTTTACCTGCATCTTCCGATAATAATATACAAAAACTGCATGCAAAGTCTAGCTGCTCTGCTGCTGTTTTGATGAGCTCCTCGATCTTTGGTGGAACCCATAGCACAATTCCATGTTTCCCTTTCTCCTTGGGATCCCATGGATGGAAAGGGAACACCGTGCATTTCCTCTTGTGCACTTTATCTATTATCACCCATACAAACTCTATTGTTAACTTTTGACAAATAGTGGATTAAGCAGGAAAATAAAATTAGCAGTAGTGTATCACTAGCACATAGCCAATCACCTTCAGAATTGGCTGATAATTGTAAACAAGCAAAAATAAGATAACCATGATTGTGAGACGCATTTTTGTGTTTAACCAAACGAGAGAATGAGATCAGGCTTCAAAACTTTATTCACTACTACTTTTTATGACCTTTTAAGTAGTGACCCCTGCTTTTCATAGAATGATGAATTACTCAGATTTCTATTTCCTTAGACTCATCCCCCTCATAAAGCACTCTTTATCTGTTTTGCCTGACCCGCTAAAACCAGGTTAGGAAGAGAATAATCATTCACCAATTGAAGCATAGCTTACACTCAGATAATGTATTGTGGCATGATACCCACATTTTTTCCAGCCCAACCAGTACCCTTGGGGCTAAAATGGTCCTTTTCTCCCAATTGTGCCAACCTGTGATAAAAACGGATGATCCAGTGCATAGGGCTCACACTAAAGTGAGGTCTAAGGAGAGCAAGATATACACAACCCTACTCCCATTTTCAAAGAGGCTAATTCAGTGACTCAAGCCCAACCTATCAAGGTGCTAATAGTAAGTTGCGAAAACTGAAATGAGAATAGACTCCCTCCCTCTCTCTCTCTCTCTCTCTTTTCTTTTTTTCTTTCCTCTTTCTTTTTTAAGAATTAAAATATTCAATACTCATAAATTGTTAATTTCTGTTGCCTTTTTTTCTTATATATATATATATATATATATAAATTTTGCTTTAATACGAAGTTTAAACAACCACCCTTGGCAGTTTGTAGTCTTGTTAATCATGGATATTTCATGTAACATCAAGTTCATGTCCAGTTAGCATAACGGAAGTAGAAAAAAAGGGTTTCGCAGTACCTGTTATTTCTTGAGAGCAGCTGGGGAACTGAGACAGTTGAGTGGATTTTGCATCTTCCAGTAGCTTGATCAAATTCTTGTTTCCACACATTTGTGCATCATCAAGTGGAGTATTTCCCCATCTGCAAATTACAAATGATCAAATAATAGTTTAGTTGTAAGAATAATTCTCTAATTAATTACATTTACAATAAGTGATCAGCTCCGCCCTTCTGTTATGTATGTGCATCACTTAGGTCTATCTCCAAATTTTCACACAAAAAATAAAGGCTCTTGTTGAGAATCAATGGTTGTGAATCCCAAGCTGCAAACAGCACAAAGTTTGCAGCCATGTGAATGTTAGCCTAATCATGCATTGTAATAAATAGTTATGCATCCGGTTCTCAAGATAGAAATATTGCAATGCATATAAAGGATGCTAATCAGATAAGTACAGAGGGGGAAAAAAAGTTGCATAAACAATCAAAGAAGTATTAGCAGCAAGAATATATAATCCATATCACATGAACGTGCATGAATCAATGCAATCTTATTAGTCTTATAATTGGTTTCAATGAAGAGGGTAAATCATTTCCTGCACTGATTGTTGAAAGTTATATGGCACGACTGTAACTTACAAAAAGAAGTCGGCTTGAAAGGAAATGTATTCTAAAATGCATGCATGTTTAGGTGAAATGAGACAATTACACAAGACTACAATATGCGAAGAAGTTCAGAAATACAAAATATGCAGCATAATAAAATTCGAGTCCAACCATGCAAAAGTTCACTATAGGAAAAACCATTCCAGAGGATCCAGATTCCCCAGAAATAGATCAGGGAAATTTGTCTCCAAAAAATGTCATGGAATTGATCACATCTAAATGTTACTCAAAATCAGATGCCCTGTAATATTAGACTTCAAAATGCTACACAGCTCAATATGTTGGCATATAAATACCTGTCCTTTAAAAGGACACTAGCCCCAGCTCCCAAAAGCAACTTTGCCATCAAATATAATCCTTCAGAGGCAGCCACATGAAGTGGGGTTCGGTGATCATAGTCTTTGGAGTTTGGATCAACGCCATTGGACAATATCCTTTTGAGAAAATCTGAATCGCCCCTTACAACTGCCATACATAAGAAACTACCAGCATCCTCAATCTTTAATGCAGCCCCTTCTTTAACAAGTATTGAAGCAACTCTATCATGCCCATTCTTGAGGGCTTCTAGTAATGGTGTATTTCCAAACTTATCTACAAAGTTTTAAAGAACCAGTGCATATTAATTACTCTGATATTGCTGAAACAAAATAAAGCTTAAAAAGCCACAAGGAAAATGACTTAACACATTAGAAGGTTACCTGAGATGTTGATGTCTACGCGACATTGAATAAGAAAAAGTGTTATATCTTCATATCCTCTTGATACCGCAAGATGCTGTAGGAAACAATGAATTCATAAATAAATAAATAACAAGGATCTTTTCATGGAGAAATACTTCTTTGTGGATATATTTATTTTCAATTTTGGGAAAAAATAAACAATTTGATAGTTTGCTCTCACAAGCAGCAGTTTATGAGTTTTATATATAGAATGTCACAAAATGACAAAAGGCAAACAAGAAGCAGTTGTCTACACTATCCAGCAAATTCCATTAATTCAACACAACAAAAATAGACATATTTACTTTCTATTGCCATGACATGATTCTGAACCAGTTTTATGAGAGTACCATATCCATTTGTAAAATTGTGGTATATACAAGTTTTAAATCCTTAGCCTTTGACAAAGAGTATATATTTTCTTATAAAAACTATTAGATGTTAATGCCTTAAAACAACTTTCACACCGTGACCATGTATAACAGAGTGTATGAAGCGTCACCTTGCCATTTCTTCAGTATTCGTAATTTATAATTGTCCAAGAAAAAATAAAAAATGGCCAAAATATGGCAAATTCACTGGGAAGGCAATAAGAAATTTGCCAGTTTTGCAAGTACACAACTTTCCCAGTGCACATGCTGGTGTCCTGGACAAATATAGAAAGCAATCACTTTAATGGTATAATATACATTTGTAGATTCTCCTATTAAAAACAACAGATCTTTGTTCTAGTGTCTCATAACATACCTAAAGCATTGGACATTTGATCAAGTGTAACATAAAACATTCTAGAAGCTACTGCAATGTTTCTATTGTACATGCGGTTAAAGCAGGAAAAACATGGGAATATTACTAATTACTCGACACTAAAGGAGGGATTCTACTTATTTGTACTAGTTTTCACAATGATGCCAAGACCAACAAATATGTATTCTCCTTTTCCTGTAATTTCTGATTTTGCACTAAACCAAAGTCCATTTGACACAAATGTTCAATTCAGAACTGTAAGGGGAAAACAATAATAAAGTTGTACCAACCAAATATATCAGAAAAATAAAGATATTAGACAGATGAAAAATTATGCTAACAAAACATGAGAACATGGACTCAGATTTTAATATACGACTTGTCATTCTTCTTGATTCTGAATCAAATGTAGCATGTGTAGTGGATGCAGAATCAGATGGATCTGCAGACACTAGTTGTACCACTACAAAATAACTAGAGTTCTTATAGTTCAGCAATAACAAATTCAAATGATACAGTTAGCTTACATTACAAGGCGATATATGTTAAAATGAATTACTTACATGGGTAAAGACAAGAAATCAAAGTGAATCTAAGTTGTATTGCCAACAAGATTGTGCCCCCTTCTCATTAAGCATCCCATTGAGCAAGCAGGGAATAAAAAAGTAAAACAATTGAAACTACCCATTTAACATATTAAAATGCTAAAACCATACCAATGGTGATCTTCCGTCATAATCTGTCTTGTTGGGATCAGCTCCAGCTCGGATCAAATCTTTAAGTTTATGCAAATCTCCATGATAAGCTGCACTATTAACTCTCAAAGCAAGTCCTGCTTCTTGTTTTGCAATATGAAATGTGATATCAGATTCCAGTTGCTTTACACGAACATTTGATTCTTTTTCCTGTCAGATTATAATTTTTAGGTATCTGATGCATATAAGTTATTTAAATTCACTGAAGTTCATATGCAAAACATATGCAATTCTATCTGTTGCTTCCATGGGAGAAAAAAGAGTGCAAGAAACAACATAAGCAGAGGTAATAGATATGAGCAAGTTTCAATCACCTCTAGAAGGTTGTTCAGTACTCTTCGCCCATCATGAAAAAATATGTCAAGAATATTTGAGAAAGATTGTTTATCAAGGCGCAGAAGCCTACATAGGTCGCAAACTCGAACAGTATAAGGCTGGGGTATGTTGCAAAGTATTGAAATTTCACCAAATAAACTGTTGGGTTCCAACTTTGAAACAGTCTCTTCTGATCCATCTGCCCCTATACCAACCTCCTCCTTCACATAAATAACTTTCATCAATCTCAAGAAAATAACAATAACTAGCCAGGGAACCGCTTACAAATATGGTAATTCAACATAATGGTGACATTTCTAAAAATGTTAGTAGCAAGGGCAAGCAAGTGGGTTTAGGATGGACATTTCTTCCTGAACCCTATCTACAAAAAGCAAAACTCTTCAACCATCGTGAAACCATTTTTTTATTATTATTTCTTGACGGCGAAGAACAAGAAACGTGAGCAACGTGGGTAGAGACCCAAAGGTGAAGAATATTTATTAATGGCTCCATCTTCAGATTTTTATGACTCAGAAAATACTCCAAGCCAAAGGATGATGGGCAATAATATTGATCTCCTCCAATAAAGGAAACAAAACAAGGAGATGAAGAAAGAAAGAAAAGGACCTAAATCATCGAAATCAAATAAACAACAGTCAATCAAGATAGTATCATACCAGCATACCATGACATACAAAATAAAGTTGATCTACCACATTTCCCTGTTCCATTATCACTTCTCCTGGGAGAAAAAACTCCTCAAGGACTCTGATTACCTGCAAGAAAAAAATAATGATTGCTAAAAACATCAGCTAATGAAAATCTCCTTTTGCTTAATTAACAAGGGCCATCTTATTATCGCAGTTGTACACCAACGTGTATAAAAGGCCATGCAAGCAAGCGAATGCACACATACAGAGTGCTTACATAAGACCAAATGATGTAAAACTAAGTCCAGGGACTTCAAGTGGAGATATAGTCTAGCAAACATCATCGGATAATGCAAACATGTACTAACATGCACTTCTGCATTTGAGGCAAACATCATTGGATAATGCAAACATGTACTTACATGCACTTCTGCATTTGAGGCCAAAGGGATACAGCATCGAGTTGACTGCAGAATTATAAACATTGATAGAGCACAGGAAAAAAGAACTTGATCAAGGCTCTGTTCACTTACGATTAAAAACTCTTCACACCCTAAACAATATACTTCTACCAAGCTTGAAATGCTTTGTAACATTATGTGTCAATATCTAACCATTTACAATTTTCTGAAGGTTGCTTGGTACAAAGTACAAACATGCCAAAACCAACAAAAGCTATTGAAGATATATTGAGGACATTAAAGATGATGGTTATGGTTGTAGCTAAAGCAAAAAAGAAGATGACCCATATGAAATTTTGTGAAGTGCGAAATATGGGTGTCTGATACAAACCCAAGTGGAACTCACCCTAGAAACCCAACTTACAAGGGGAGGCGGCCAAGCCTATACTTAAGTGATGTGGGACTCATGATCATAACAATGTCGGGCTTTAGGAGGGTGGTATGTTTAATTTCTGCACAAACCACCATTATTCTACACAACAGTTACTTAGAACATGTCAGGAAGAAAAGAAAGACGACTCGATTTAGACGTTATGCTTTCTTATAAACCACTTCTGCTTACATTATTTACTACTGAAAGAACTGATATATCCATCAACCAATATATCCTTATCCATCAATATTAGTGTTGAACAACTTGATACAGATGCCACAAAAAGACATTTTAACATCTATCAAACAAATGGAACTATGGAACCTAATTTTTTTCTTTGTTTCTTTTTTTAGTTTCTTTGTTAATTTGAACGTGGAATTATTGCCAATCACCACATCCATAACAAAATAACAATCAACCTCAACAAACTTACTTCCTTATTAAATGTAGTACACTGGCAGTTTATATGGATACTTAGATATCACAAATTCTTTTCAAAGCAAATTAAAGGAAGGCATAATTCACTAGTTATAACAGGCCCACATCATTTCAAACACAGCTCTTTATTTAGATGCCACCATAAAAATTATGTCAAATGTACGAAAATGACAAATAAGATCAATCAACCTTTGCAATCTAACATGCCAACCCACTTGGGAGCATGTTATGCACGAAAACAGAGAGCAAATATAATTAACTCAATCCTATAGCAATTTACTTCAGCATATATATAAAGAGGAAGAAGATTCATGGAAGAAAAAAAATAAGTCATGCCTAAAGTAGTCAATAAAACATGATGGATGTCTCCAGAAGAAATAGAACAGACCCATTTTCTATATGGCATTCACTTTCGATCATATCAACAGTTCTAAACCTAATTTTCATGATTAATGGATAAAGAAAAACTTTTTTATCAGAAACAAAATGAAAGTACTGGTGGCTTTTGTTATTATGAATCTAAAATTGTCTAGCTAGGCAAAATGACTTACAATCTGATTAATGAATTCTGAAGAGCATCCTTTGAATAGAGGGACATTTTCAATGTATGGCTTATATAAAGTTTGGGAAATCTGCAAAAGAAGCTCATCAATGAAATACAAGATAGGAATCAAATTAAAACACCACAAAAATTGTTAATACAGTATGCAGAACAGAACCGGTCTGTCATTCATATACATACAACAATCTGCAAACATGGATACTTACTCAAACCTAAGAAAGATTCCCCAAAGAAAGTAAAAACTAAAGACAACTTGTTGTAAAATAAAAGGCTTGAGTTCTATTTTCCAGTTAACAACTATGAAGAAGTTATACACAGAGTTCATCTCTTTTACCTTAGCACGAATAGAGATGGGAAGATCCTGAAGAGCAGAAGCTTGACAATAGCTGCTTTCATACTGTAACCGCAAGTGACCTTTGATCTGATTACGGATGTCCCTCCCAAGTCTATTTCTATTCATATATTTCAGGAGATCTGTCATTTTATCCCTAAACCTTTCTGTCTTCGATCCTTTCACAATCAATGCAGTCATGTTACCAATCAAATAAGCACCAATAATCATGTCAAAAGAGACATAAATCATTACAAATATCATTTCCCTCAGATTGACTGCATGTATATCTCCATAACCTGCAGCAGAAAGAGGATACTAATTTAGCATAACCAAAGAACCCCATCAATAACTATTTTAGGATGGAAAGTATTACAACATGTTCATACAATTTGGGAGGGACAACACAATTATTTTCCAATTTCCATCATTTTTTCAATCAAAGAACTATTTTATGATGGAAAGTATTACAACATGTTCAGACAATTTGGGAGAGACAACACAATTATTTTCCAATTTCCATCATTTTTTCAATCAAAGAATCTGTCCCAAAGTCATAAAGGCTAACCAATTATTTCTCACTAAGGTTTACACTCCTTCTAAATTGATTAAATACTAGGTCATTCCCCTAAAGTGACGCGTTGCACCTGCCTCCAGGTATTTCGAAAAGTGAACAAGGGGCACTGCATCGACGCCTGAGTGTGGTGAAAAATGGGCAAAGGTTTCCACATTTTTCTGGACGAGTGTGGATAAAGAAGCTAGTCCAAGATTATAGGTTTAGGGTAGCCACTTGGAATATAGGAATTTTAACTGGCAAGACTATAGAATTGGTAGATGTCATGATTAGGAAGAAAGTTAATATAGTTAGCGTACAAGAAACTAAGTGGACGGGTGAGAAAGCTCGGAAAATAGAGGATACTAGTTTTAAGCTATATCATAGTGGTAAAGATAGACACAAGAATTTGGTAGTAATAATAGTTGCCAAGAGTCTTGTAGAAAATGTAGCCGCGATCATTATGAAAGGTGATAGAATTATATTAGTTAAACTAGATATTGGAGAGAATATAGTGAACGTTATTAGTGCATACGCCCTCCAAGTAGGATTATATGATAAGTCTAAGAGAGTTTTTTGGGACCAAATGGATGAGGTATTACAGGAAATACTCGTAAGAGAAAACCTAGTTATAGGTGGTGATTTCAATGGCCATGTAGGAGTAGATAAACTAGGGTATGAGAGGGTGCATGGTGAGTATGGTTTTGGTGATAGAAATGAGGCTGAAGAGAGTATTTTAGATTTTGCGTTGGCTTTTGACCTGGTGGTGGCCAATACTATGTATAAGAAGAGAGAAGCATTTGATAATCTTCAAGAGTGGATCAATTAGGAGCCAAATAGATTACTTTTTAGTGAGAAAATGGGATTGTCTAAAGTGCAGCGACTGTAAGGTGATTCCTATAGAGAGCTTGACGTCTCAACATAAGATTTTTGTACTAGATTTATGCTTTAAAGGGCAATACCAAACTCGGAAAGATAGTGGGCGGCGTAGGACTAAATGGTGGGACCTAAAGGGGATAAACTAGACACATTTAAGAATAGAATAGATAAAGAAGGTACTTAGGACTTGAAAGATGATACTAATACTATGTGAAACTCGATAGCCAATTGTATAAGGAGAATCTCAAGGGAAGTTCTTGGAGAATCGAAAGGAAAGGGACCCGACTTTAGGGAAACTTGGTGGTGGAGGGAGGAAGTCCAAGCGGTAATAAAGACGAAAAAAGAGAGCTTTAAAAAGTGGTAGAATGACAGAATTGAGAAATACCTTAAGTGTTACAAAATGGCCAATAAGGAGGTCAAAAAAGTAGTGAAGAAGATTAAGTTGAAAGCCTATGATAGCCTATACACTAGACTAGATAGTAAGGCGGGAGAGAAGAAGATATACAAACTTGGTAAGATAAGAGAGAGGAAAACAACAGATTTTAATTAGGTTAAGTGCATCAAAGGTGAGGACTCTAAGGTGTTGGTGAAGGATGAAGAGATTAAGAAGAAATGGAAGAACTATTTTGAGAAATTGTTAAACGAGGAACATGGAGGGAGGCCAAAAGGGGAGGAACTAGGCGGTAATAAGGAAAACTAAGACTATAGGTTCTATTGTAGGATTAGAGACTTTGAAGTGGAGTTTGCACTTAAGAAGATGAAATTGAATAAGGCTTTAGAACCCGATGATATACCCATTGAAACGTGGAAATGTTTGGGTAAGAAGGGGTTTGTTTGGTTGACTATGTTATTTAGCAAGATTTTGTTGACTAGGAAAATGCCAGAGGAGTTAAGAAAGAGCATTTTAGTGCCAATATATAAGAATAAAGGAGATGTCCAGAATTGTAACAATTATAGAGGAATCAAGTTAATGTGTCACACAATGAAAGTGTGGGAGAGAGTGATGGAACGTCGATTGCAAGTTATAACAGAAGTGTTAGAGAATCAATTTGGGTTTATGCCTGGTAGGTCAACTGTTAGAATTTCCCATCTTTACCTTCACCTACTCCACTACACACTCCACTTCACCTACCTCCACTTCACCACACACTCCACTTCACCTAACCCACTATCACCTCCACTACACCTACTACCACATTTTCTTCTATATATAGATTGTATAGGAATTGTAATTAATCAAGCTTGTAACAATCAATCAATCAATAATACTTGAATTTTAACAACAATGGAAGTGATCTATCTTTTGAGGAGAGTAATAGAATAATATAGAGAAAAGAAAAGAGGCATTCATATGATTTTTATCGATCTTGAGAAAGATATAATCTGGTGGGTGTTAGAGAAGAAAGGGATGACAAAATGTTACATTGATGTGATTAGGGATATGTATGAAGGTATGGTGACCACTATTAGATCGCTTAGTGGAGAGACAAGTGAATTTTTAATTTCTGTAGGGTTACATCAAGGATCAACCTTAAGTCCTTATCTTTTCGCTTTAGTTATGGATGAGTTGACGCGCAATATTTAGGATGATGTGCCATGGTGCATACTCTTTGCAGATGATATCGTGTTAATGGATGAGACTAGAGAAGGAGTTAACACTCAAATGAAGATTTGGAGAAAAGCATTTGAATCTAAAGGATTTAGGAAAAACAGAACCAAGACAGAGTTTATAGAGTGTAATTTTAGTAACAGTTACAATGGAAGCAGAGGAGAAGTGAAGATTGAGAGCCAAGAACTACCTAAGAGTGAACGTTTTCGTTATTTATGATTGATTATCACAACGAATGGGGAGATTGGAGCGGATGTAATCCATAGAATTAAGGTAGGGTGGCTTAAGTGGAGGAGTGTGTCTGGAGTACTGTGCGATAAACGAGTACCCATTAGACTAAAAGGGAAGTTCTATAGAATGGCTATTAGACTAGCGATGTTGTATAGGGCGGAATGCTGGGCAACTAAGAAACATGCATATAAGATGAGTGTTGCTGAGATGAGGATGCTAAGGTGGATGTGTGGCAAAACTAGAAAAGACAGAGTTAAGAAAGAGTATATTTGAGAATGGGTAGGAATAGTACCGATAGAAGATAAGTTGAGAGAGAGAATAGATTGAAATGGTTTGGTCATATACAACAAAGACCAACAGAGGCAGTAGTGAAGAGATGCGATACAGTAATAGTAGATAGTAGTGTTAGGGAAAGGGGTAGACTTAGATTAACGTGGACTAGTGTAGTAAACAGATATATGAATCTCCTTAATTTGACTAACAAAATGGCCTTGGATAGTCGAGTGGAAAAAAAGGATTCATGGAGCTGACCTCATTTGATGGGACTAAAGGCATGGTTTGGTTTGGTTTACACTTGAATTTGTTCTGAGCCTTTCTATCTACATTCAGAGCTCTCAAACATGGCAACTTGCTCTTTCCATCATTTAATCAACTGATAACATTCTTATTCTATCTTTTTGAAGAACTTCTAACGAATCAGTCTGTTGTTTACCGAACCTTGTAATAACAATACAAAAGATACAAGTGTAAACAACTTATTCATGATTTTCATGTTACCGTAATTTTTTAAATCTTTGTCATTGCTATATTTGAAAGATTACACAGTACACACAAGTATTAAGGCCAAGATCAATGCCTTAGTGACATGCAATCCAGTGTCACCACCTTTGATACTCTATCACAGTATTGCTAAACAACCAATAATTCATCTTGATCACAAACTGTTCCCAACTATATCACCTTCAACATTAAGCTATTCCTACCAGCTCCAAGGCACTCCTAGCATTGCCACTTCAACAAGCAGCCACCAAAACCCTCCTATACCTGTGTCATCACTTTAACCATAATATTGTGTCTTTAACATGTCAGTAACAGAACTACCACATCTAATAACCAAGTTAAACCACATCCACCATTGCAACCAACTCAAAACTGCTCCAATTCAACATAAATTGCCCTGCAAATATCACTATCAATAGCTCTGAATCAAATGTTAATGTTCCCACCACCGTTCTATGGTCAATGAACCAACCACCTCACCAATACCACCAAGCATCTGATCATCTTCTCACTACTGTATGGCCTCTAGAACCTTAACATTCCAAAGTACCATCACCACCACAACGATCTGCTTCTTGTTGGAAATTATTCAAGTTATATCTAATCTAAAAGAAGGAGGTTGAATTTTTAGCTATCAAATCAATATGATTCCCTTGATCTAGAATCTAAATGAAATTCATTAACAGAATTTTAACTTGACACATTCAGAGTGAGAAATGTAGTTCTTTGAATTGTAAATCCAGAGGCCAAATCCAACTACATGAACCAACAACCCAAAAAATATCATTAACATGGATTCACTTGTGATATTATATGTGCAAGTGTATATAATTGTCATACATAAAGAGAAGAAATTGGAAAGGAATAGAATACTTCCCCAATAAACTGCAAAAAACTAGGCTACAACTAAGGAAGACCCCAACCACAAAGAAACTTAAATCTAGCTCCAATCTTCATCGAACAATCAAAGAACTTAAAGTCAAAATTGGTCCTGGCTTAACCTAAAAATTGTGTTTGGATCTTGGATTTTTGAAGGGATTTGTAGGGGGAAAGGGAAAGAGATGAAAAAGTGAATAAAATATAAGCTAATTTTTTTCATCTCTTTTTTCCTTTTCCTTTTCCATTTTCCACACAATTCTCTCATCAGATCCATGATCCAAGCACCACACAGTGCTCATCATATTGAAGTGGTTAGCTTCTGTTGATTTTCTAACATGGTTGGATGACATTTAATGCATACATCATTACCTTTATTACTGTTTTTAGAGTTGGATTTTGTAACCCATAAATGAAAGTATATAATAAAAACCAGAAACCATTATGCTTCCAGTCACATAGCGAAATGAACTCACCGACAGTTGACATAGTGACAATGGCAAAATACAGGGATGTTGTGTACCGCTTCCACAAATCAATCTGTCTGAAGTGCAAATAACTGCAGTCACCCATTTTTAAACTTCCAATCCATGTGTACCCTTCTTGCTCTGCAGGCAGAGTGGTAGCCAAATAATAAAAGATGCAGGCTGCAGTATGTGTACAATATAGCTCAACGGCAATAAGCTTTATAATCCTGGTAAACAGATAATTGATCCGTATATCCTTCTCCATCTTTTGAAAAAATTCAGTGACCTTGCGAACCCGACTCAACCTGAGCCACAGAAGGTACCTTACCTCTTCTTTACGTCCACTAGCCTGATTAACACAGATTGCAACATGGTAATTATTGAAGAGGTACTTGATGGGATTATTACTAAGGACATGTTAACTAATAAGGATTACGAGTCTATGACACGGGGAAATTTTACATATCAGATTCCGTTATCCACTGGTATGGGACTTCTGGATTATATCTAGATTTTTAATAGGGCAGTCAGAAAAACAAACATAAACAAACTTAGCCCATTACCACCGCTCTCACCCACTTTCCCACATCCCCTCTGCCCCTCAACACCCCAAGATAATAAATATAAATAAAAGAAAAAAAAAGAAAATGAAGCATATGCACAGAGAGAGTAGTTTAAAAAATGCCACATTGGAACAACATTACTGACTCATTTGATCAGATCAGGAGTTTTGTCAAGTAACAAGGTGCGTAATCTTGTGAAGTACAAATTTCACATTGTTATAAAATTTGATTTAAATTGATGGTAACTCAATTTAAAGTACATTAAAAACTTCCATGAATAAATCGTCAAAACTTGCTCACAATGTTTTAACGTTTCGATTATTCTTCCAAATTCTAGCCCCAAGATGGGAAACGTCACATGAAAACCACAGCTATCATAACAAGTTGATTTTACCATCATGTTCCCAATCTGAACTATGTGATACACTACATATTATCCAAAATAAGAATTTATCCAACTCAACTCAAAAAGCCTTAGTTACTAATTGGAGTCCGCTACATGAATTTGTCTTCTAGAGTAAATATTTTTATTTTTACAAAAATAAATCATGTACATACACCCCCTCACATATGAATATAGTCAAAGTCTCAAAGAGAATGATGGCAATCAAAGAAGTACCTGTTACATTACATGAGGAATAAACAATGTTCATTAGACACAAATGATAAACATAACTAAAGCACCAAAGAGAGCTCCAAAAGGAATAATCTAAGTAGCACGGACACACCACACAGACACTATGACACAACAATTTTTTAAAAAAAGCAGAACATGATATGCTTGGGACATGATAAAATTTTAAAATTTATATTTGTTAAATACATGAATGACACACCACACAGACACTACGACACGACGATTTTAAAAAAAAAAAAAAAAGAAGCAGAACATGATAACATAGTTACTATAGAGAGATTCATGAGATTCATCACATAGGTCATACTTGGGGAGTTCAAGAAGAGCCGCCAAAGTCTCCAACATATTACAAATTAGTGTCCGAGATATTATAAATTTAAAATTTTAATTGAAACACGATGAAGAAGTGTGTCCACAAAGTGTTGTTGTGACCAGCACAACATGTTTACTCATAAAAGTGTTGGTGCTTATTAGGGAATAACGCACACACAAAAAATGACACATATTTGGGAACCTCAAAACAACTACTATTAAAGGAACAAAGAGAGTTACCTTGTAGATAAGGTCCCAAGGCATGCAAGCCAGAAGATCAAAGACAAAAGTAGATTTCAGGTACCTGTAAATATAGAAAAAGAGAAAACCCATTAGTTTTTTTACTAAAATAGAGGCCATTAACTTCTTCTACTGTGATTGTTGAAGGAAGAAAAGAGAAAACTGACCGAAGAGCAATTGGGGTGCGCTTATAGATCATGTTGTAGGTCTGACTATCTCTGTAGGCGACAAAGAATTGGAGGACAATGTCGACAAGGAAAACTACTTGACCTGCTATGTCTAATAAGAAAAGTTTCCTCTGCAATCCCCTGAAGAACCCAAACTCCATGGGTGTGAAGAATGTTGAATACACTGCCCATACCAATATGAACTTCGTCCATGCCCGATACCACCTGTGTATTTCCTCTTGTTATTCTCTCACTTTTTTGCTCAAACGTGAAATATGATCATTATAAATGACATAACTGAGTTATAACGTAAAAAAATAAAATAAAATAAAATAATTGAATTATAACATTAGATATAACTAAATAACTATTAAATTATAATTAAAATAATATCATAATTAGTATTAACAATCAAAAATACAAAGATGATAACTATGTTGGGATCTTGGATCCCGCCCAAGACCTTGTAGAAATCATAACAAACAGAAAAAACACACCCACTCTCAAGGAGACACAATATTTAACGTGGTTCGGCCTCAATGCCTACGTCCACGGGAGAGTAGCCGGTTATTACTATAACAATGGAAATATTACAGAAAGATTACAATAGAGGAGGAGCTCACACTCTCCTCACTCACCCACTCATCCCGTCTCCCTCGCTCACACCGAGGGAGACGGTCTCTCCGCCTCACATATTTCACTCTGTGGCTTCTGCTCTGCTCACACTCTCTTTCCCCTTAGCCTCCATTTATACTCAGCAGAATGGAGATGGAGAGGCTGGCTTTGCATATGGCCAGCTCTCTTGTGTGCTGGCTTCACATGGCCAACTCACCTTTGTTGGCTTTGCACTCTTGCAGCACATGGAGGATGATCACCCCTCACATGGGGTGATGATATTCCACAAACTAAAGGTGCTCATAGAAATTTCCTTTTCAAACATAACCATACGAATGGATTCCAATTCAATCCATCATCTTTTTTTTCATTAAATTTTAGTCCAAAATTTGATTAAAAGCTTGATTGATATGGGATACTTCAATTCCTTTTCAACAAACTTAATTAAAAACTATGGTCAAAAAATTGAATGCTACGATCCTCACTTAAATATTTCATTAATTTTTTTTAAAAAAAAATTCCAAGCTCTTCTCTAGAAACTTCTTTCATCAAATTTGGTGAAAAAACTTGTTTATATGTTGATTTAATGAAAATTTTGATGAAAACTTGATTTGATAGAAATTTAATGAAATGATTGAAGGTCATTTTCACTAAATTTTTCATCAAATTTAAATTTAATAAAAAATTTAGTGAAGAATTGGAGATGCTCGAATGTTTAGGTCATGTTTATTTATATTTTTTATGGTATTTATTTTTATTTATAAAAATTTGTAAACAATTTATTTTCAATAATTCTTGTAAATCATAAAAATGTTTATTTCACATTTTTAAGCAAACAAAATTTCCAATCCTTCCTCTTTTTCCAGTCTCTTCTGCTACCACCTACTTCTTATCACTACCACTGCCCACCACATTCGACCACTCCCACCTCTAGCCATGTCACCATCAAGCACTTCTCATTGATAACAACTACCTTTGACTGCTATCTCGTGCATCTAGCCATGTCACCATCAAGCACTTCTCATTGATAACAACTACCTTTGACTGCTATCTCGTGCAAGAAAAATCACATTCGATCACCGATTGCCACTTATAACCCGTAGCAATTGCCTTTGCATGACCATAAACTATCTCCAGCAGTCGACAACCACTTCTGGTCATTGTCTCCATCCATCAGCTACCCTTCTTATTTGGTTTTAAGGTAAACTACACCTATATCATCTAAAGTTTTGCTTTAATACTTACCTTACTAACGTTTTGTAAATTACAATGACTCCCTTAATAGAAAAAAATGAAATGACCTTAATGCCCTTCTCTATCGTCTCCTTGAGATAGACTAGGCATGGAGCTTCTTCTCTATTACACCCTCCTTTCATAGTACATCTCTCTTCTTTCATCACCAACAATTTTGTTCGACACTCTAAAGCATTTCATCAAATGTGATAGGGACAAGAAAATGCCAACTTCACCCCTGCTAGTAAAAAATCAAGCAAAATAAAGTAAAAAATGCAAGCGATCCATGACAAACGAATTAAAGAGAGAGAAAGATATAATGTAAAGATTGTTGATTTCGAAAAGAAACTTAGGTTCTTGGTGTAGCGTTGCAATTCATCAAACAAATTAATTGATGATGTTAGCAAATGGTGTTAGCTAACCTAATGGTCAGTTTACGGAGGGGACAAATATTTGTATTAAATTTTGGAGAAGGAAATGTAATCTTCCAAAAATCAAGAAGTTATTTGTATTAAAGCCAAACCTCAAGATTGTGGGTGTAATTTACTCTTGTTTTTAAAACATAGGTATATCAAACATTTTTTTTTTCCCTTTTATAAAACTAAACCTAAACATATTTATTAGAAAAAAATTATTGTATATGTAAATGCTACCAAACAATAGCTAATCATATTTCAAAAAGGGTAAATCAAACTATAAGGTTTTTTCACTTTGATACGAATTTGATACAAGTTCTAAAGATCGTTTTATTACGTAAAATGGCACATGCTTAGGTTGACCTAGACTCGACAATTTATGAAATAGAATAAATTATATTTTATCTCCTAAAATATGAACTTTTTTCACTTTTAACCCTCAAAAGATTTTTTTTTTCATAACACCCCTACTCACAAAATAAACTCCCTTCCATATCTCATTTCACCATTTCTCTTTATAATCTTCTTGTAGGTTTCAATCTGAATTCGTATGATCCGAATTGTCTATCTCGTAAGCTCTACAATAAAGGTTATCTATGCAAAAAATCAATTTTATTAGAAAATTATAAATACTAAAATAAATTGTATTTTGTTTTATAAAATGAATGGTAAATATAATTAAATTTAAACCATCTATTTTATAAAACAAAATGCGATTTGTTTCTATGTTTATAATTGTTCAATGAAACTAATTTTTTGTATGGATGACTTTCATTGCGGGCCTACGAGATAGACGGTTCAAATCATTAATGCGAGTTCGAATTAAAACCGAAAAATGTTTGGTGGCCTGAAAATATGGGGCTCGAATGGCTCGAAAATGGCAAAACGGCGTCGTTTTACACCCAAAACAACGTCGTTTTGGGTGTTTCGATCCACATATTTTCGGGCCACCAACCATTGCTGAATTAAAACCCATAGAAAGAGTATGAATGGGCCTTTTACATTTTTTTTTGTTACATCATCCCCCCCCCCCCTCTCCCAAAAAAAAAAAATGTAGTTTCCATAAATCCCAAATCACTACATCATCTATTAAAATGTGATATTACATTACAATACCTAAACCTTCATTATCCTTCATTTTCTCCTTATCTCCCCTTCTCCATTTACCTTCTCTTTGCACCACTGTCTATCAAATTTTGGAACACAAAATGACTCAGCCCCAGTTTGGAATAAACATTTTAGTCTACTTTTTTTTGACTATTTGACTATCTTATCCTGATTAAAAAAATTGTATTTAGGGTGATTTTTAAATTTTTTTTTTAGTTGATTTGTTGGTTTAAAAAAAAAAAATTAAAATGATTATGATTTGAATGTTACATTTTATCTTATTGACTATTTTAGTATATTTTTTGTCTACTATTTTAACCAATAAATTGCATCCCAAAAGAGTTCAATTGGCTTGCTTAATTTTTTTTTTTGAGTGTTACATTGTTACATTTGCGAAAAGTACACTAAGAAGTTTTTTAAAGTGTTATATTAGAGTGTTACGTTATTAGAATGCTACATTGGAATGTTACATCGTTATTCGTAATGTAAGATTTGTTCCAAAATGAGAAAAAATCCAAAACCTCTAGAATACGGATTGCCCAAATGTGTAATTTTATATTTGAAGAAACTCACTTTTATTCTTCAAAAAATAAATCTAAATATGTAAGTGACTACCTTTTGTGTAATTTCAACTTTAATAGGACCTTTGGATTCATAAAAAAAAAAAAAGGACTAAACAGTTCACAAGATTACATTTTAGGATTTATTGGTGTTTCACCCTAAAATTTATAAAATATATATTCTATAATTCACATTCATAATTATATATTCTAAGACTTAAATTGTTGTGTTATAATATTCATTTTATTAATTTTAGTTTTAATTTTAATTTATTTGTTTGAGGACATTGCTTTAGCATCAACTTATTAATAAGGTAAAATTTATTTTACCCCTTTGTGATTTGAGACCAAAGCACTATACCTCCTATGGTTTAAATATAGTCAAAAAGCTCACATTCGAATTTTTTTTTAAAGTCATGATAGAGACCCCCTCTAATCACCACCCCCACAAACCCCCCCCAAAGACACGTGGTGGGTGGTGATTGGAGGAGCAGGAAAAAAAGAAAAAAGAAATGTAACCAATGAGAGAGAGAGGGGGTCAAAGGGGGTGGGGGAAAAGGGGGCATGAAACATTTTTGTTTTTTTTATTATCAAAGTGCAACTATTAACACCGTTAAGTTAACTATAGATGTGAAATGACTATAATACCCTAATCCTATATATATATATATATATTTTGTTATTTTCATCCTCTCTTTCTATCATACACATAATTTATAATATCTTAACATTAATTCAATTAAATCACAATTAATTATTAATTGTAATTCTTAACTTTTTATTCTAATTTTAATTCAATGATGGTAATTAATCTTAGGACGCTTGGCCTATAAATCCAATTTGGATTTCTTACCCATTCACTAAACTATTAAGTCCATAAGGACATGCTTATGTGAAAATACCAAAATGCCCATTCTGAATTCATTAAAAACCCTCGTATATAAACAACTTATACGCACGCACAAATCTTTTTTTCTCTCTAACTGTCCATCTCTGTGTGTGTGTGTGTAATTTTCAACTTTGGGTGCACGAACTAGGGTTTCTACTTCCATCTGCGAAGAATCAACACATTTCAATCAAAATGAAATCTTATTAGAAATCTCTACTATTTGCTTATTAACATTCAAACAAAAAAATGTGAGGAAAAAAACAATCACATATCAGAAGCATCATCGGTACCATCTTCAAACAATTAATCGTTCCTCTCACCACTTGAAGACAATTAACTATCTTTATCCATTAGCCTATCAAATTTGTTTTCCTCCTCCATCAATTTCTCATCAGTAAGCCAGTT